CTCTTCTCCAGCACCACAGCTCAAAGGCATCAATTCTCCTTCTATCCTCCCTAGTCATTGTCCAGCTCTCTGATGCATAACAAGTGATTGCAAAGACAATGGCCTGTATCAGATGCACCTTAGTCTCCAGAGAGACACCATTGCTCTTTAGTACTTTGGAGAGGTCCCGAACAGGAGCCTTTGCCATCGCAATATGTCTTTTAATTTTCTGGCTGCTGGTGCCAAGAATGTTGACTGTGGAGCCAAGCAAACTAAAGCTGTGAATAATCTCAATCTCTTCACCATCCATCCTGATGCTGCCAGTTGGCCCAGTGGTGATAATCTATCTTTATCTTCTTGATATGAGCCTCAATCCATATTGAAGGCTGCAGTTCTTGACCCTCTGCTTGAAGCAGCAAGCGCTTCAGGTCCTCCTAAGTTTCAACAAGCAGGGATGTGTCATCTGCATAATGCAGATTGTTGATAGATCTTCTACCAATCCTGATGCCACACTTATCCTCATAGAGTCCAGCCTCCTGGATAATCTGTTCTGCGTACAGGTCGACGATGATACGATTAAAACATTTGTTTCAAAACACCGAGGCTGGACTGAGTGCTAGTGTGGCTGAGCTACTTGACCGGTCAGAGATGAAGTAGTAGAGACCTTGAAGCGACTGCAGAGCCAGAAGGGCGTGCAGGGAATCATTGTGGCGAACACAAAAGGCATTCCCATCAAAAGCACGATGGACAATTCCACGACCCCACAGTACGCCAATCTCATGCACAACTTCATGTTGAAGGCACGGAGCACGATGCAAGAAATCGACCCCCAAAATGACCTTATCTTCCTTCGAATTCACTCCAAGAAAAATGAAATCATGGTTGCACCAGATAAAGACTATTTCCTGATTGTGATTCAGAATCCAACTGAATAACCTTCTCTCTAGGGTCCCTGTGTTATTCTTTAACTTAATGCCACCCAAGAAGACGAAATAATCATGCCAACCATAAAAAAAAATAAAGCATTTGTTTCAGTATTATTTAATGGGAAATTTAACAAAAACAACAAGAGAGCAGACGCGTGAGATTCCCTCAGCGAGGGAAAACAGATATGGGCAGATTATAGAAAAGCGTTTTTAAAATTAACTGGGGTTAGTCCCTTCCTGTTTCGTTTTACAATTTTTTTTATTGTGTCCCATCAAATCGGAATCGAGTGGACCCTCAGGAGGGTTTTCAGAAGCAGTTAATCGCAGGGGAGGAGACTGCCCACTCTTTTTCCAAGGCACAGCCTCTGGACTTGAACTACTTTTCTTTAGGATCACAGAGCAAATTCTTACCACTAGGCCACCATAGAGACAGAAGAGGAAGCGAAGACCAAAATGGATGTCAGAAGAGACTCTGAAAATTGCACTGGAGCGCAGAGAAGCCAAAGCACAAGGAAGAATTCAGGATACTAAAGAGTTGAATAGAAGATTTCAAAAGGCAGCACGGGATGACAAAGCAAAATATTACAATGAAATGTGCAAGGA